TCTCTCTCTGTCCTAAAAATAAATAAACGTTGAAAAAAAAAATAGTCCCTTTTTAATGTTTATTTTGAGAGAGTGCGAGAGTGTGTGTGTGTGCGCACGTGCACATGCACACGTGCGCACACACACACACGAGCAAGTGAGGGAGGGGCAGAGGCAGAGAGAGAGAGAGAAAGAGAGAGAGGGAGAGAGAGAATTCCAAACAGGCTCTAACTGTCAGCACAGATCCCGACGCAGGTATCCCCACAAACCATGAGATCATGACGTGAGCCGAAATCAAGAGTCCACGTGACCGAGCCACCCAGGTGTCCCACAAATATTCTTTACTTCAGAGATGAACAGGCAGTTCATGTATCTTTTCCTCCTAAAAAAAAAAGACAATGAAAACCTAAAACCATATTTAACCTTAAAATGAGTTTTAGGTTAAAGATATTAAAGAAATGTAGTGAGATATTCCCTCTCATTGGCACTAAAAAATATCATACCTCTGATAGAGAATTTAAGATAATGGATACTCTCATCCATCTACCTCTACTGGGAAAACAAATTGATATAATCTTTTGGGAGAAAAATTTAGCAATAGTATTGAAAATGTTTACCTCATTTGATTTATGTATTTCTTTCCTGGGATTTATTCTAAAGCAATAATGATATGCATAAACATTTATGTTTAATAATGTCAACATAGAACTATAGTTAAATGAAATATAGTAAACCAAGATGTATGCTCTTGAACCCACTAAAATCATGCATTAGAAGAATATTTAAAGGTATGGAAAACTTCTCATAACATATTTTGTGAAAAAGCCTGGTTATAAAAATATACACTACAGGATTTATATTGTATTTACATGTCTACATATCTACAATGTTAGCAAAATATTCATAGTAAGTATTTTTAAATAAAGAGAGTGAACTTTATTTTCTTATTTATGCTTTTCTAATTTTTATTCTATATTTGCCAAACTCTTTACAAGGAACCCAACTAATTTTCATAATTGAAAAATATTTTATCATTAAAAAACGACTAGAGGAAAAACATTTGGGATACACATCCTATAATTGAAAAAGAAAAAACCCCATAGAATGCATTCTCCTTCTGAATTATCATACCTCTTATAAACTGTATTCCATGACTGCTGGGGGAAAAGTTCACCTATTACCTATATCTCATTTTTCATGAAATCAGTTTTTTCATCATAAAAGCAGGGACTGAAAGCTATTCAGTGAATAGGTATAATTGCCATTTAAGAGGTGAAATTAGGGTACTAGTTGCCATAGAGACAGACAGTGGAAATCACTTATTCCTCCAATTCTCTGTGAAACTAAGAAAGAAAAATCATTCCCTGGGAGGGGAGTCTATTCCCCTGGAGCTGGGCTTGGAAAAGGCAGCTTACAAAAGCACCTGGACTGTGGTTGGCCAGTTTCCATTTCACATCTCCAAGTGTCCGATGCTGTTTTGTTTTCTCAGTTTTATCTGTGGGAGCTAAATCTGAACATCAACCTTTTCTCATTTGCATTTTTAAAATGCAAGTTGTAATTACAGGCTTAGCATGATTTTCCAAAGCTTAAAGTAAAAGTTGGAGTAGAAAACAGAAATACTTACAATGATATATTCATTTATAGTTCCCCATGGAAATGATTTATGGAAATAATTTTGAGTGTAAATATCCCTATGCCAAATGGCAAACTCAGAAGACCTTGCAAGTAATTGAAAACTCTTTTGACAGCTCTGCTGGGTTATTTCTTTTAGGGAGGAAGTGGGTAGAAACAGATATAAATAATGATGATATTAGCCTCGAACGTGAAAACACCATTTTTACTTTCTAGGATTTGCATTGTATTGGTTGGCACCTTCAAGCTCTTGATATATTTGTGTTAATATTTATTTTAAAGAAGTCTTCTAAGATACTCTGCAGATCCAGAATGATCATTTAAAACACATAAATCTGATCATGTCACTTTCCTGCCTAAAATCCTACATTGGCTTCCCATTAATATAAAATTGAAACTCCTTACTGTGCTCTATAGGGTCATTTATGATCGTGGTGTATAAGGTCATTTATGATCAGGCCTTGCATACCTATCTCACTCCCCTCTCCCAGCCTCCTCTGCCTCTCCCAGCCTCACCCCCACAGTCTTTCTTCTGTTCACTCCCCCCAGCCACATGGGGCTTCTTTCTTTCTTCAATCAGGTCAAGTTTGTTTCCATCTCTGGGTTATTTTATTTGTGGTTCCCTCTGCCTGGAATCTTCTCTTGCATGAATAGTTGCTTCTTATCTCTTAATTTTTAGTTCAAATGTCATATCCTCAGAGAAGTCTTTGCTGGTAACTGTCCCCACTTGTTGCTCTGTCACATAACCTTATATATTTCCATCATCCTACTTAGCAGTAATGAAAAATATTTTGCTTGACTTTTTGTTGAATTTCTGCCCTCCTTTCCCCTTCAATTTGAATGTATACTCCATGAGGGCCCAGACCCTGTGTGTTGCTTCCTACAGTTACCTCCCTCATCTAAAACAGTGCTGGCATGGACTATATTGCCAATTAATGTTAGCCGAATAAAAAACAAATAGAAGCATTTATTGTTGGCAGAAATAGTATAGTTCTGATGCCATAATTGATGGGTTTTATGGTAAATCTTTAAATCTCCTTTGTTTTACCTCTATGACACCACTATAACCAAACTGTCCCCTGTCTTATACTTGTAGTTAAAAAACCCCTACAGACAAAGACAAAACTTATGGAGACTGTAAAAAGATCAAGGGGCTGGAGATGGGCCACAGGGTGGGGTGAGGGAGGGAGGGATGAATAGGTAGAGCACAGAGGATTCTTAGGACACTGAAACTATTCTTTTTTTT